TTTGCGGCATCAAAAGCAAAGGCAGGGGTGATTGCTAATCCTATGTTTAGAGGTAACGGAGATGGTTGGGAATTATAGAGCAGGGCAGAGAAACAACCACGAAGGGGATGTGTGCTTATGTTGGAGCTTGGTATGCGAAGTAACTGGAACAGTGGACAGTGGGGGTGAGTGCCGTGGCGTTGGACCAAGGTGGGTACGAGATGGCGTGTAATTTAGGAATATGGATAGAAAGGCTTTAGGTGGGCCTATTATGGCAGATGAAAATAGAGAATTGCGTTAAAGGGAATGAAAGGGGAAAGCCTGGGTATTGATGGTCTCTGGTAGAATTTTACGTACAAACATTGGACGTAATAAGGGGATGTTATAGATTAGTTATTTAATCGTATGAAGGAGAAGGGTAAGTTGGGGAGAAGCAGGTACAGCCGTTTAGGGTTGGTCCCCAAGGACAAGGGCAGCCACGCCTTCGGGAGTACCGATCCAGATTGGCTGGATGTGACAGACAATAAGGTGGTTTGCAAAAATTTGTAGTAATAGGTTCAAATGTGTGTGGGAGGAGGGTGGTGTTCAAAATCTCAGTGTGGGTTGCCGGGTAGTATGAATGATATGAAGGACAAGGGATATTTGACTGAGAAGTTTGTGGAAGCTAAGGGTGGGGTGGAGGGGCAGCAATTGTTGTTTCTAGATTGGCAGGGAGCATATTATAGAGTGGAAAGGGAGTCTTTGCAGGTTATACTTAGAGACATGGTTTTTTGGGGGAGAAAAAGTCGAGTGGGTAATACGTTGTCCAAGGGGGCGAAAATAGGATACAGATTAAAGGTGTATGGGAAGGAAATGTGCAATGGTAGAGGCCTTAAACCAGGGATGCCCATGATTCCCAAATATTGTTTGCGTGTTTCCGTGTTTCCAGACCCCATTTATAGATGGTTACCGTAGCTTAGTACCCATGTGAGGAAGTGTGAGGGTGGGAGGGCCTGGCCGGGTTTAATGGGATTTGTTGACGACACCACAGTTCTCATTCATGAATGGATGTCAATGGGAGTGTAGGACGAGGTTGTGCTATTATTTGGAAGTGCCTTCGGTATGCAGGGTAAAATAGTGCAAAGTCAAGGTGCTGGGTTTGGGATTTCTTGGGTTGGGGGTGTTGGGGGGAATGTAATGTTTTAAAGAAATGGGCGGTGTATCTTAAAGATTTTTGGTAATAATTATAAGATTGAACATGGTTGCAGCGTGGAGGAAAACACCGATAGGTTATTGAAAGGATCTGAGGGTGTCATGTAGGGGGTAATTGATTGGGGAATATGGGGGTAAGAGGCGGGAGTCCCAGTAGGTAGGGGACTGTTAGGCCTTAGGTAGGGATGAGGCAGAGGTAGGTAAGGTAAATGACAGAGAGGTGAGCGTAGGTAGGTAATGGTGAGGTCACTGTTGACTACACCTTCACCTGTCAATTACACTACCGCAGCCACCCTACACAACTCACCCCTATCACTACTTTAACTATATATAAATAAATGGAAATAAGATATAAATAACTGGACAGGGAATATTACTATCTACATCAAACCCAGTTTATTATTAAGTCCTTGTACAATAATATATTTGGTGAACCGTAAAGGGGAGGGAAGAGTACAACATTGGGGTTCAGATAATTTGGGGTGGTAGCTCATTAAGCAGTGAGACAGGGAAATACAATCAATTAGACGGAAAAATAAATATAAACTTACACTATGGCGCGGAGATCAGTTCCTCACAATAACTAAGCCACAGGTTTTTTGTCCCAAGACCTACACGAGCACTGAGTTACAGCCCGAAGCCTTACTCTGCCCAATGGCTCCAACAGTCTCCTCCATAACTATCAGCAGGCCTTCTCCGAGCCCTGCACCCAGCAGCACCTCCTCTCGAAGTCTCTGCTCGAGCTCTGCACCGCAGGCCCAGTGCTCCGCACGAATCTCCTATCATGCTCTTCCTTGGGCTTTTTATGGTGTCCCAACACCCACCACAATGATGTGTGCACACTGGTGTTGATCTGAACGTCGAGGTCTGACGGCCGTCCAGACAAAAGACCTCAGTCTTCCGGCCGGAAAGGGCGTGTCCTCTGAACACAGACATTTGCCAAGGCAAGTGACCATATAATTGGTTAAATTAGTCTCCCCAGAGACCTCCACAAGCCCAGCTGAACTGCAATCACATGGGCGTCTAGGTGGTTCTGAAGACCCCAGCACCTAACCTTTATACAGCGAAGTGAATCCTTAAACATTTATTTTATAGTAATGTTTGGCATGTTGCAGCTGTGTTCCCATTACAGGGACAGCGATGGGGGGGGCGGGGGGGGATTCTAAGACAGTTGTAGCAATTTTTTGTGGGGTTCACGTTGTGAATTGGGTACGGAGGGAAGTTGTAATGTTACCTGTAAGTCAGGGTGGGTTGGGGTTGATGGATTTGAGACGGAGGCTAAATGTGTGTTTATTAAATTGGGAAGTGTTGCGTGTGGGTGTGAACCGCGGGCAGTTGAGAAGGATACACGACAGGCTGGGTAGTGGTATCGAGGAATGGAGTTGAGGAATGCAAAATCGTTTTGACTGCTGTGATGTGGTTAGGAACTGAGAAAGGTTCGTATAAGGGTTTGTGTAGGTTACTTGTAGTAGGTGCGTTGTCCCAGTTGAGGGTTTGTTCCCATGTATGCGTTGAAGAGATTTGGTTTAGATTTAGTAAAATGAAGTTTAAACCCTCGGGCGCGTGAGGTGATGTTTCGTTTCTGCACGGATCCTTCCGTCCTGGTGAGATACTACTAAACAGACAGTGTAGAGGGTGGGGGTGTGTATCTGTGAGGGGAGAGACAGTGTTCCATGTAGTTTACTTTTTGAAGGCTAGAGGAGGTTAGTGCTGGTTAGTAGTTGGTACAGAGGGTGGGTGCCGTGGTTGTGTCGGTTTGCGTGCTTTAAGTCTAGATATGGGTGAGTTAGACGAGGGTGTCATAAGAGCTTTAGATTATATCATGGTAGATTATATATATATATGTCGTGGGTGATGAGGGGGAGAGGTTATAGTGAAGAGAGAAGGAAGGTTCTTGTGGTAACGTTCTATCGTACGATGTGTCGTAACAGAGATTTGTATGGGAGGAGGTGGGATCAGGCATTCTCAAAGGGGTATAGAATGCTAACTTTAGGGATTCTCGTAAATCTGTGATTGATAATGAGTGAGTGACGGGGTTTTCATAGGTTGGAGGGAGTCAGGGGGTCACAGCGGGCTCGCCTCCTGGGGGGGGGGGGGTCGTGAGAGTGTTGTGAATGTGGGTTTGGAATGGTTTCCTGGTTTTCATTGAGACTTTATGATATCCAAGTGTGGATGTAGAGCTCAAGGTCTCGTTATGATAGATATAACACTTTTCAGAATGTAGGTATAATATAGTAGATTTTTTATGTATAATTATGATGTATATCAGTCTTGTATGACATGATTCTTGAGTAATAAGTTCTTTGCGACATGAAGTGTGTTTTAGTTTGTATTTATGTTACGTGCTGGGTTTTTGCATGATGAGATATACTTATATACTGTTTAGCTTTGTGCATACAGTGCATCTGATTAATGTGATTTTGTGAAACATTTTTGTACTCACCTAGTTGTACTCACCTAGTTGAGGTTGCAGGGGTCGAGTCCAAGCTCCTGGCCCCGCCTCTTCACTGGTCGCTACTAGGTCACTCTCCCTGAACCATGAGCTTTATCGTACCTCTGCTTAAAGCTATGTATGGATCCTGCCTCCACTACATCGCTTCCCAAACTATTCCACTTCCTGACTACTCTGTGGCTGAAGAAATACTTCCTAACATCCCTTTGATTCATCTGTGTCTTCAGCTTCCAACTGTGTCCCCGTGTTGCTGTGTCCAGTCTCTGGAACATCCTGTCTTTGTCCACCTTGTCAATTCCTCTCAGTATTTTGTAAGTCGTTATCATGTCCCCCCTATCTCTCCTGTCCTCCAGTGTCGTCAGGTTGATTTCCCTTAACCTCTCCTCATAGGACATACCTCTTAACTCTGGGACCAGTCTTGTTGCAAACCTTTGTGTGTACGTGTGTGTGTGTGTGTGTGTGTGTGTGTGTGTGTGTGTGTGTGTGTGTGTGTGTGTGTGTGTGGGTGTGGGTGTGTGTATATATATATATCCCTTTCTATTGTATTGAGCCTTTATCATGGGTCAGACGTTATGTAATACTTTATGTATGTATGATTCGATTCTTTTTAAAGTTTATAATTTGGTCTGTACCCTGATACCGGTTTGGTGTCAATGCTAAGTTCTTGATGTTCAGTTTTAGTCTGTATGGTATTCAGACATATCTAGACGGTTTATGCTTTTTCGTATGTTGGTATATGTAAAGCTGTATTGTTAGGGATACGTATGTAAATGTTCTAGTAAGATTATGATGTTAGGTTTTGGTTTTTTGATTAAATGCAAAGGGATGGATTTAACTGATATAACTTCTTTGTATATTTTATGTTCTAGTGTACTGAGCCTTTGTCAGATGTCATGTTATATGTACAATTTATATATACGTAAGGTTTTGCATCAATGAATGTGTATATATGTCAATTCATGACCCTGTGACAGTATTTTTTTTTAGCTGTGTTCTTGCTGTAAGTTCTTGTTGTATGTTTGGCAGCAATATCTTGCCAGCATATAGGTGCAATCCGTTTGTCAGTTAATTTGATTGAGATCCATACTGTTTTTTTATTTTTATGTTAATTTGTATTGGTTTTAAATAAAATATAAAAAAAAGATTACTTCGTCTTTTGTATATAGTTATAAGTTATACTGTTTTCTCATTTTGTCTTTGCATTTGTATTGATAAAGCCACTGGTTGGCGAAACGTCTAAAATAAAGATTCCCAGATGTTGCATATGTGTCTAATTCTTCATCTTGTTGGTTATGTCTACCATACATTAACATCTGTTTTATAATCTTGCTATTTTGTAACATCACCAGAAAAATTTAACACATTTTAAACTCTACAGGTAAGACGAGTGACAAAAAAATCACCTCATTAACAACATTCACAATTTGAAGACGGTCCCACTGTCGACACATTCATCTGTGTAACTAAACCTCAACATCACCAGCAAGATCAGATGCAAGGAGATCAACACTGACTCATCTGTAAACCTAAGCATCAATCAGCATCAGGTACTCTTAACATGCAGATAGAGACCGAGCTCTCGACGCGCCTATGAAACCTAACCAAAATAAACAGCCTCCTGTATAGGCCTGTTAACAAGTTACGATGATGAAGGAAGACGATATAGTTAATTAGAAAACAAAGATAAGAGGTAAATACACGTGGAGAAGCTGATCAAGTGAAGAGCGAGGAAAGGAAGGGCGAACGAAGCAAAGAAGAGAGGAAAAGAAAATATATATTGGTCAATATGTCTCGTATCGAGTCGTTCAACATGACGGTCGGTTACAACCCCGTTAAACCAGGTGACGTAAGTATTAGAAAAGTGATCGTGTAACACTCGTGTGTGTGTGGTGTGTGTGTTGTGTGTGTGTGTGTGTGTGTGTGTGTGTGTGTGTATACAGTGGTCCCTCGCTTTTCGTAGTTCTCGTCAATCGTAAATTTCGCCAATCATAGGAGTATTTTCGTATAAACATGGACTCGCTTTTCATAGGTTGACTGAGTTCGTCCAGGACGCTTACGCAAGGTGTGAGCCGGGGAGGCCTCCCTACCCAGCCAGTCTGGCATTGTTTACCAGTGAGTGAAGGTCCCCTCAAGTGCTCCTACGAAATATTTCATAATATTCCACTCATTTTAGTGCTTGCAAGTACTAAATAAGCTACCATGGCTCCAAAGAAAGCTCCTAGTGCCAAGCCTGTGGTAAAGAAGGTGAGAAATATGTACAGTAACAAAGTCTTGTACCATTTTAGGGAAGTGTTAAGGAGACGCCAGAAACAGAGCTCTCTCCACAGTTACTTTGCGAGACAGGACTAGAGTGACTCTCAAGGTGGTCCTAGTAACATTAAGAAACAGAGAAGAGAAGCAACCCCAGAGAAGCAATTGGTACCTGAGGTGTTGCTGGAAGGGGATTCCCCTTCCAAACTGTAAACAATCCAATCTCTCTCCTCCTCCAGTCTCCCATACACTAAGAAGAATCTCCAATAAAGGTAAGTGTTATGCTGTTAATGTTTCATTCATCATTTCCCATTGTATTGTTTATGTACTACATGTATATTTCATGTAAAATTTTTTTTTGTTTTAATACTTCTGAGTGTCAGAAATGGATTAATTGTATTTACATTATTTCTTATGGGGAAAATTGATTCGCAAATCGTAAATTTAGTTTATAGTAGCTCCTCCAGGAACGGATTAATTACGAAAAACGAGGGACCACTGTATATATATATATATATATATATATATATATAATAATAATATATATATATATATATATATATATATATATATATATATATATATATATATATAATAATATAATACACACAAATTCTCTTAAATATCAATTTAATATATCAATTTAATATACTTATATCAATTAAATATCAATTTAATATATTCGTTAATGAAGCAGTGAGTGAAGGGCAGTGAGGTGGTTCCATCAGTGCCGGGGACCTCAAGTCGCCAAACTATTATCAACTGAACTATCAAAGCAAAAATATATGAAGATTCTCACGGTTATAATGGAAAAAAAAAAAAGGTTTTGAGTGAAGCAAATTTTAAATTACTGAGAAGCGGTGATTAAATTGATATTTTTTTAATCACCGCTTCTCAGTAATTTAAAACTTGCTTCACTCAAAACCTTTTTTTTTTCTTTCCATTATAGCCGTGAGAATCTTCATATATTTTTGCTTTGATAGTTTGACAGTTGATAATAGTTTGGTGACTGTTGAGGTCCCGGGCACTGATGGAACCACCTCACTGCCCTTCACTCACTGCTTCATTAACGAGTATATTTCTCCGCTACAGTACTTTTATTTTTAAAATATTTTATTGCTACAATACCTTTATACTACAATACTTTGTCTACAAGACTTTATACAATACTTTATTTCTACAATACTTTATGCATATCTGTAGCTGTATAATTGATCTGGTCTTGCAGCTCAACTTAGGCCTGTAATTTCCTCTGATTTACGCATATATATAACTGATTGACTGTAATTCTTAAAGATCTCTTATTTCTTTAAGTATAATTTGAAAAGAGTTGCATTAAAAAATATTTGTTAAAATAGATGTGGCTAGAGCAAAAACTGTGTGTATGTGTGTATGTGTGTGTGTGTGTGTGTGTGTGTGTGTGTGTGTGTGTGTGTTGTGTGTGTGTGTGGTGTGTGTGTGTGTGTGTTGTGTGGTGTGTGTGAGTTATATTAAAAAATAGACAAATGATTCTACGTTGCTAGAAATTTGTACAATGCCTCCGAGTACGTCTATATGTGGGAACACTATAGTGGTACGCTGTATAGAGGTATCGTAGGATAACGCAGGACAACGTAGATATTGTAAGCACGTTTCACTAGTATGCTGGACAGACGTAGCCTAGACTTATCCACTAGTCAAATAGTGTGACTTATAAATATTGGGATGCTTTTTAGATTGCCCATAAAGGTGTGGGTTATTTGTGGCGTAAGTTGTTTGCTGTTCAATGTATATGTTTTTTGGTAGTAATTGTAATGCTTATGTGTATTTACGTGTAATCTTAGGTAGTTTTATGATACTAGTAGTGTGTGGCTTAATAATTCTATCTCTCTCATTCTCCCTCCTTTTCTCATTAATTCCCACTTATCTTCCCTTTTTAACCCGTCTCTTCTTCAATCCCTCCATCTCTCTCTCTCTCCCTATTCTCCCTGATATCAGCGCCCTTCTATACTGGGAGGCAACACCCTGCAGGTCGGTGAGGAGTTCTGGAACCTCCAAGACCCCAACAGGAGTCGCAGGATCCCGTTGGCGCTGTTAAGGGATCGCATCCTGCAGACCAAGGACGCTGATAGCATCCCCAACGCCCTGGTGGTGCAGATCCTCCGTCAGGCAGACAAGAACCGGGATGGTTACTTAGACTACGACGAGTACATGCGTTATGTGAGTACCTGAGTACATACGTTATGTACAAACCAAACACGCTTGTTCTGAATGTATTTGCTTGGAATTCCTCCTTTTCTTTTGCAACATTGCAAGCTCTTGATGTGATGATTGCAACACGAAAGGCCTAGAGCTATCATTCAACTCCCCCGTGGTTGTTTTGCATACAGTGTATATTTATGTATACATATATTATCTTGCACTGACCCCTGTGTTCTTCCCACCAGGCAGAAGCATCAGCAGAGTACTCTAGGTCGCGACACGCATTTAACACAGCAGCTCTCAGTGTCATCCCACGGAAAGAGAGGACCGCAGTGACCAGGACCTACCTGCAGGAGTACAAGTGCTGTCCACCAGCGCTCTTCATGGTCACAACCACACTCATCGAGGTCATTTACCTTCTCTGTTTGTCTAATCTCAGTCTTTACAGCGCTAAACATTCATTACCTCTCACTGCCAACCCCTAACTACCAGTCCACCACCTACCACCGGCCAGCAATGTTGGTGCCGGTGAAGAGCTCTAGATCCTTGCTGGTTGTGCTAGAGTTCTCCAGATCCATATTAAGCCTTGTATTAATTTTATTCACTTGCTTCACATAGCCCACTACACACTTTTATTTACACTTGGAAGAGAAGCTATTATTTTTTTCATAAATAATAGATTTTGCTTCAAACTTAATGAACAAACTTGATAAGTTTGCATGTTTCTCTGACACATTATTTTTTTCTCAGTCTTGAAAATTATTAAAATTTCAATTGACATGTTTAATTTCTTCATACAAAACTTACCATTTGTAAACACAGCAATGATAATTGTGTGTGTGTGTGTGTGTGTGTGTGTACTCACCTAGTTGTACTCACCTAGTTGAGGTTGCAGGGGTCGAGTCCTAGCTCCTGGCCCCACCTCTTCACTGGTCACTACTACCTGGAGGTTACCTGGAGGTTATTCCGGGGATCAACGCCCCCGCGGCCCGGTCCATGACCAGGCCTCCCGATGGATCAGGGCCTGATCAACTAGGCTGTTACTGCTGGCCGCACGCAGTCCAACGTACGAGCCACAGCCCGGCTGATCCGGCACTGACTTTAGGTATCTGTCCAGCTCTCTCTTGAAGGCAGCCAGGGGTTTATTGGCAATTCCCCTAATGCTTGATGGGAGACTGTTGAACAGTTTTGGGCCCCGGACACTTATGGTGTTTTCCCTTAGTGTACCAATGGCGCCCCTACTTTTTATTGGGGTCATTTTGCATCGCCTGCCCAGTCTTTTACTTTCGTAGGGAGTGATTTCTGTGTGCAGATTTGGGACCATTCCTTCCAAGATTTTCCAAGTGTAGATTATGATATATCTCTCCCTCCTGCGTTCCAACGAGTACAATCAAGTGCTTCCAAGCGTTCCCAGTAGT